GGGCAACTAGTAGCGATGGCCTCCAACCTAATGGCGACGGCCTCCACCTGTAGCTTCTTGCTACTAGTAGGGGGAAAGAATAACAGGGAGACCCAAACAAGGGAAGATTCTAAGATCAAACCAAAAGTGGGCAAAGAGCGGGTCAGTAAACGTGTTACAAGCGCAAGTTGTTTGGCAACAAAAGTAAACCCCGCAAGTGGTTTGGTTTGTCTTTGAAGGTGTAACAGTCCATGGTACGATGCTCGGCGTCCACCTTGGACATCCCAAACCAAGAAGCTACATGCACAACAACTTCTTGCCACTTAATCTCTTTCGCAGGAACTTCCAAAAACAATTTCTAAACAATATCTTAGTTGCCCGGTATCACAAAAAACAAATCAGAACATAATTTGGAAACATCGCCAGCAAAACTGAAGACATCGCAAAACAAAACAACACTTCCAAATTTCCACCAAAAGGCACATTTTTCCTGACTCTGTGTACTATATGCCTTTGCGGTGAACAACCGCTCACCTAAACTGAACACCATATAGTTGTCACTACAGCATACCAAGATACTACAGCTCTTGCTTCTTGTTCTGTTACAGCTCTAGCTGTCTGTGCTGCTCAGTCCTGGATGGATCCTCTCCGTCCTGGGTTGATTGTCACTGTGGATGTGAGGGAAGCATGGCGGTACTGAGGGCAGCACTGGGGCTTCCGTCGAGAATCACCGGAGCCTGCTGATTTTTAAAAAACTTCTCAGAATCGTTTCTGTGCATGTGTATACATGTCGAAAGATACATGATATACATGTATATAGATAGAGATAGAGATAGAGATAAACATGTTTTTTGGGTCTTTCTTTTCTTTACCTTGACTCCGACGGGAAAGATCATGCCGGAAGGCCGCGCTCCTCGGCAAAGCCTATGGCGAGATGGGCTTCCTCAAAGTGCAGCATACACAAGTGAACAAGAAGAAACGCAGAAACTGTGCCACAGTGAAGACCAAACAAAGAGAACTGGAGTAAAGGAACGAAGAAGGGGAAACTGAGACAAGCGGCTCCATTTAACTTTGAGAAGAAATGCAACTGACAAGTGTGGTGTTGTCGCGCAAGTCTGGTCCCGAGCCGGAATGGGCATATAGCGGTCAATGGCCGAAATGACGTTCAAGCTGCTCAGAAGCCGCTCCTCCAAGTGACGTGAAAGCGTATGTGCTGCGTCGCGCAGCTTTTGGGGCTACTAGGAGCAAAGGGCATCGCTACGTTCGGGGCTCCTGGCCGTACTACCAGGAGCAAGTAGCTACAAGAAACAAGAAACTACTAGTAACAAGGGCATCGCTACTAGTAACAAGAAGCGACCATAGACCTTTTTTCCTTTTCATTTTTCTTTGTTTCTAATAGCGATGGCCTCCAACACGTCCTTTTTGTTTATCGTCACCCTCCTATGTGACGGCAATAATACATACGGTTTTGAGGGGATGCCTCAAGGCATGCCAGGTTTGAACCAAACTTGGTTCCACCATCGAATTCTAGCTAAGGCGGTTCCGGGAGCTTCCTGGTGATTAGACTTCGTCTTTGGAACGTTCCAAGTTGCTTCTGGGAAGTTTCTCGGTTCAGTTTTCTCGGACGTTCTGGTCGGCCCCAGGAGCAAAGACGCTACTAGGAGCAAAGGGCATCGCTACTAGGAACAAGTGCCTTACTATTAGTAACAAGAAGCTAGTAGAAACAAGTGCCTCACTAGTAGTAACAATAAGAAGATCATTCCATCATTACCACATACACATGTGCATCTAAGAAGTTTACGAGAGCGTTTTGATAGCGATGCCAGAAAGGAAAACGCCTATGCCAGCGAACAGTTTCAGCATGTTTTTTTGGCGACCCAAACAGAATTCCGTTGGTACAGCGTTCGCCAGGACGGTCAAGGGACAGGACAAGAGGACACAGGGTTCGCGAGCGCCAGGGGACAGGAGAGAACTCCAACCGTAAAAGAAAGACAGGTGCATCGCTACTAGGAACAAGTGCCACGCTAGTAGTAACAAGTGCCTTACTAGTAGTAACAAGAAGCTATTAGAAACAAGTGCATCGCTACTAGGAACAAAGGGCATTTCTACTAGGAGCGATCGGACGCTACTAGGGGCTCCTGGCATCGCTACTAGTAACAAGAAGCTACTAGTCTAGAGTCTCTCAGAGTCTCGTCTAAAGAAACAAAGAAAAACAGAGCAAGATTGGCAAGACGCATTGGTGTACCAAATGTGAGGCGCTCCCAGTCGGCTGCAACATCACTTCAGGCTTTGCAAACCGAGGATTCCACATGGGAAGCAAACAAACGCAAGAGAAAACAGGAATAGCGTTGCTTGCGCAATGAGGGCAACATATGAAGCGGCACGAAAGCCTACCTCGAATCCGTGTGTAGAATTCATAACGTGAAGCAAGGACGCTACTAGTACAAAGGGAATCACTAGTAACAAGAATACTAGGAACAAAGGGCATCACTACTAGGAACAAGGACGCTACTAGTAGGCCAACAAAGCCAGGTGGCAGTGATTGAACTACGCCTCCTTTGCGAGCAAAGCAGTTGTTTTTGAGTGACCAAATGTGACCAGTGATCTCCCCAGGTGCATCGCTACTAACAAGGACATTACTACTAGTAACAAGAAGCTACTAGTAACGATGCCTTTGTTACTAGTACTAACTTTTGAATTATGTTTGTTTTAAGGACCCTTTTGCCGTTCTTCTTTAGTCTTTATTTATCTTTGGCCGCAAACTATAGTAGACCTTTCTGATCCGCACTCTCTTTTGATCGCATCCCATCTTCATGGGCTCTGCGGATTTTTCGAAAAACAAATCACACTCTTCGTGACAATCTGTTGACACGTCCTCGATCTAAAGTGATCTGCACTTACTTTTGAATTATTGTTTCTATGATATCGTTTTCTTTAAAATAATAAGAACTCGTTTTTCTTCGTTTGGAGGCCATCGCTCTTAGGTTGGAGGCCATCGCTCTTAGGATGGAGGCCATTCCTAATAGGATGGAGGCCGTCGCTATTACTTTTGATTTTTTTCCAGTAAGACCTCTATTTTGTTCTTTTCTTCTTCGTTGTCCTCGATGTAAAGTGTGGAGCTTTTGACCTCGGAAAATTTGGTTAAAAATGGCCGACTGAGGTGCGGCCGGCTGAGGGGCAAACCGAACGGGCGACTCGGATGGCGCCTTCTCGCTTTGGGAAACAAAGACAGAACAACACTCAAAGAACACTAAAAGAAGAGCCTAACAAAAATAAAAATTGAACGTGCTGTTTGAAATCAAATGGAAATCATGGTCCTGTCAAAAGTGCCATTCGTCGCTTGAAGAGAAGCCAACCTATCAAACATGAGCATAGCAACAAATCCCAGGAACCAAATCATTGGTGTGAGCGTGAGCTATCCTGCGTCCATGCTGACAGCTTTGCTAGCTACTAGCTACCTCGGCCTACCCCCCCCGGAGCTCTACTAGTTAAAGAACAAACAAGTAGTACTAGTAGTAGCTTCTTGCTACTAGTAGTATGGCCAGGAGCCCCTAGTAGCGTCCTTGCTCCTAGTAGTAAGGCCAGGAGCCCCTAGTAGCTTCTTGTTACTACGTAGTTAAGTTTCCCTAAAAGTCTAGGAACCAAATCATTAGTACGAGCGCTTCTTCAAGGAAGCTGGGGGAGTTTCCTTGAAGAAGCGCGAGCTATCCTGAGTCCTAGGTAGTAGCTACTTAAACTACTAGCTAGGTAGCTATTCCTTACATTTCCTAACTTGATTAAGTAGGGAGGGGAGGGTAAACAATACTAACAAAAACAACACAAAACACCGGAAAGCATCAAGAAAGCGCTCAGCGGCTGAGCTAGTGACGCCAGTACCGCTGAATGCATCGACTGGCGGAAACTTGCACTTCCACCGCCTGAGTATCCACGACAAAAGTGCAAAAGACACGTTTTATTTTTACTTTTTAAAATGGATATTAAGATGTTCTCGCCTTCACAAACTTCAGTTTGTCTTATTGTAGTTTGCTTCAAAAAGGACGTGAAGAACTAAGAACCGTCGTCTCTAGCGCCTCGCATGTCTTCCTGTTCTGTTTCTCGGAGTCTCAAACACTCTCACTCTTCTTGAATGTGTCTCAACTAGTAACAAGAATGCTACTAGGGGCTCCTGGCCTTACTACTAGGAGCAATGTTTGCTACTAGGAGCAAAGGGCATCGCTACTAGGAGCGATCGGACGCATTCTAGTCGGAGACTCTCACTCTTCTGGAATCGCCTCAACATTCTGTTCGTCATTCGCCTCTTCTGGGAACTCCATTGTCTTCTTTCTTTTCGGCCTCCACGCTAATAGCTTCTAGCTACTAATAGCTTCTTGTTCCTAGTAGTAAGGCCAGGAGCCCTAGTAGCGTCCTTGCTCCTAGTAGCGATGCCCTTTGCTCCTAATAGCTTCTGGTTACTAGTAGCGATGGCCTCCAAGCTACTAGCAATGGCATTCAAGAGACTCTTCTTTTCGATTTCTCTGTGGCAGTCCTTCGGGAATCCACGGATACTCTTCTCCTGCAAAAGAGAGCTTGTAGACCGCACGAACTGGGCAATGAATGCTTGTTGGAGCTCTTAACACCAACTTGTGTGAACCAAAGTTGACATTGTTAAAACACGTTTGCTCCTAGTCCGACTAGAATGCGTCCTTGCTACTAGTAGCGATGCCCTTTGCTCCTAGTAGCGTCCTTGCTCCTAGTAGCCAGGAGCCCCTAGTAGCTGCCGTTTTGTTGAGAAACATTCAACCGTCACAGTTTTCGCGCCTAAATCACCCAAAGCAAACCATCAATAAATCTTCGGTGGAAATGATAGGAACCCTGCATTCATGGCACTGAGGTGTTGTCGTGTCTCTGTGATGCGTCCTTTGCGTGACACGGTGCATTGCATGAATCATGTATCTTTGGTTGAAACATGGAGGCCATCGCTACTAGGTTGGAGGCCATTGCTATCTTTGGTTGAAAAAATGTAGATCTTGTACCTGCCTATCCCGCTCGTGTCATCAGTGACATGCAACATGCGCTGTGAGACTTTCTTGCAAGCAATACACAAAATCGTTAATCATCATCATGAACGTCATTGACAAACACCAGCAAACAAAACTCGAAGAAACACTTCTCTTTTGCCGACCACAAGAATCTATTACTTAGAGTGGAATTGAAAATGATCTGGGCTGAGCTGCATCGCTCTCAAGTTGAAAGCTCTGAGCTCGGCGAAAACCAAAAATTCCAGCTCAACTGCTACATCCAAGCATCTTTGTGTACACTTTGTGTACATGTTTATCCGATTGTTTAAGATTCTGTCTGAAAAACAATCTGCGGCTTCCCAGGCGAGGCTGAATCTCGTTGTGATTCAAATCCTTCGACACTCTCTGTCTCGGTCACAATCTGCAGTTCCTTGACACCCAGCTGCGACTTTATGACTTCTGTCAAATCCCGCAACATGGCAGCCTTGTCACGGGAGATAAGGCTGAAGCCGAACAAACATGTGAAGAAGAATCAGTGACCTAGAGCAGTTAGCGAGATTTTTCTGCCAAAAAGGCTCAGACAACCACCGAAGTCATGAAACTTTCTTGGACAACCATGGAAAACCGTCGCAGGGTGCACAGCCGAGCCAATTGACCGAAAATGATGTTTATTGTGGATTAGACAAATGTGCGTGGCAGGTGCGTGTATGATTCAAACACGCATTTTACATGTCACATGTTTAACGCCTTGAAAAACGCACGTGTAGTTGTGAGAATTCTGATGATGTTCGCGTCTACGAGAACAGGGGGTCGGGGATGGGGTCGGGTTAATGACAGATGTTGCACATGCTATGCAATTGCTTTTCTCGGAACGGACTGTCTGGAATCTGGAACTGATTTGCTTTGTGAGAACATAGCGAAACGCACATGGCCTCCAAAAAAGGTAACTTTCTCGGAAGGTTCGAAGACATGGATATGGCCACTTTCCACTGTAAACAACTGTATTTCCAACACAGTGATTCAATTCCCCCACTTTCAAACGACTTCACATTTGAAAAATACAATCAAACCGCATGCGTTTGCATACTTTTCCGACGCCTCACATGATAGAATTGATCACCACTGCTCGTGCGGTTTTCAATCTGCCGGGATGTTTATCGTGGCAGTCTGTTCTGTGCGTTCATCAGGACCTGCTCTTGCACCTTAAGATACCTTAAGTGGCGCTGGCGAGAGCATTTGCTCTTAGGTTGGAGGCCATCGCTAGTAGGATTGGAGCATTTGCAGAAAACCACTTTGAGCCTAAGCTTGTGCGAGCACGTTCTGCGCACGCTGCGCACGCGGCACATGCTGACATCTTGCACAGGCTATGTACACGTCACGCCTGGGCCTGCTTCATCGCTCAAAACGTTGGGGTGCCGGGCGGTCAACAAACATAGCAAACCGTGCAACACCAACGTGCGTGGAACCCACTTAGACTGACTCAGCAGGAAAAAAGTTGCTGTTACTAGTAATAACGCAGTTGTTACTACTAGCTTTTTGCTACCAGAAACGATGTACTTGTTTCGTGGACTGTGCAAGTTGTCTGTGCTCTTGCCACCTGTTTCGCTCATTGGCGATTTCACGGGATGCCAGAGGATGCCACGTGATTGCGCGGGAGGGACGCAGCGAAGATCGGTTTAGAACCTAATCTCAAACTAAAGATCTTGACCTTTCAGTAGCTAGAAGCTACTAGCAACAAAGGGCATCGCTACTAGGAGCAAGAAGCTACTAGTAACAAGTGCATCGCTACCAGTAACAAGAAGCGACCATAGACCTTTCTTCCTTTTTTTTTGTTTCTAGTAGCGTTGTTCTGTCTCAGGCCTCATCAAAGGGCAGCTCGAGCTCCAACGCTTCTGGGCCCCTCGTCTTGACTTCCTGGACAATGGGACCGAACATGTGCGGCTTCGTAACATGAAACAAGGCTACATGAAGAAAGGTCTAGTAGCTTCTTGTTGTCCAGTAGTAAGGCCAGGAGCACCCCTAGTAGCGTCCTTGCTACTAGTAGCGATGCCAGGAGCCCCTAGTAGCTTCTGGTTACTAGTAGCGATGCACTTGTTGCTAGTAGAGATGGGTCTTATGTCCGGTTTCCAGCGCGCCTTGGACATAAGGAAAGAAGCAAAGGGCATCGCTTGCTTCATGACTTGCTTGTCGAAGTTGATGGATTTGCGGAGGAGGCCCATAAAGTTCTTGTCGACGGGTTCATAGTCTTCATTGAGTTCGACTTCTTGTAGAACCTCGACAGAAACCGTCAAATTCTATTGCGCCGCATGATTTGACTTTCGGGACCCGTTAGGCGCTCACACGATTCATTTGGTTCCTAGATGAATTGGGAAACAAACAAAAACATCCTTTTACAAGGTGCATGGATGGTGTGACCAGTTAAAGGAGCCAACTTTACTCCCTAAGAGGGTGGGAATCAGACTACTTACTGGAAAACTTGACATCTCTTTTTCCGGGGACACCTTGAGGCCAAAAAAAGCTCGTGCACACGCTCGTGTTTGTGCAGTTTGTGCTTGACGTCTCAAAAGCGCACGTTTGTGCAGTTTACGTGTCCCACAACGTGAAAGAGTGTTGCTTCCAATATAGGTGTGCTTCTTCATTCCGGTTCGATTGAACGATTTGGGAGCGACAAATGGAGCATTCAAGGGCATATTTCTTTGGAGGCCATTGCCCTTAGAAACAAAGGACAAATAGAAAGGAAGAAAGGTCTACTAGCTTCTTGTTATTGGTATGCCCTTGTTACTAGTAGCTTCTAGCTACTGAAAAACAATAATTTTTGCCGACCAAAATTGGTGGAATGCCGTGGTCGACCCAAACAGTGCAACTAGAATATGTGAGAGGTTGTGAGTTGCCAGTTTGACTGTAAAGTCTTCATCCTTTTTTCTCACACATGTCTTAAAGAGGAAACACTGTTTAGTATTTTGTGTTCTTGATTTTCTTTGGGGGTGGTGCAGTTAATTCGTGTCAAAGCACCAAGAATCACACGTTTCCACAAGACGTGAGAACTTTCACAAGCTTTCACAGGCCTTCCATCAATTCCCCAAGTTAAACGAGCACAAATTATGTGACTTTGCTCACCATTCCTGGACTTTCTCCATTCTGCCTCGCTTTAGCCACCTTAGCCTTTTCAATTTGGGCAGTAGCACTTTCTGGGGTCCTGTTAGCTTGGTATCTCCCACTTTCCCCGTTTTGCGCGCCTTCATGACCTCAACCTGCCATGGCTTGTAGCTCTTTGCCACAAAAATGATGGCTTGCGTTGGAGCCACGTTCTTCGAAGCGACGTTCTTTTTGCCCTTCTTTCGCTTTCCGCTTGCCTTGTACTTCTCCAACTGTAGCCGGAAAGACCGAAGAGATCCTTGAATCAAGGCATACTGCCGGGATAGAAAGGCATCGACCGATACCTCGGGCCACTTTTCGTCCACCACAAGTGTCTCTTTTCCAAGAACCTTTCTCCAAAGATGCTCACAAAAGTGCGGAGCAATGGGAGACAATGTGACGGTTTGGGTCTCCAACAGGAACTTGATGACCTTTGCATGCACATCCCCATTGGTGAGAATGCTGTATTGGGATCTCAAGTTCTCCAAATCATACCAAACGCATCGCAAAGCATCAGTGAACAGCATCTTGGAGTATGCAGAATGCGCATTTTGCACTGAGGTGCTGATCTCATTACTAAAGACTTGATCTAGGAATGTGAGATCACCCGTCCGCATGTCCGGCAATCGCTTTACAGCATCTTCCGCCCAAGCTTGGAGATTCGTCAAGCGCAAAATGGTCTTCCCACATGATTCAGTGGAGAAATTCGCATCTTGCAAACCATCTCCACTATCTGCACATGCGATGCGCGTGGCATCTGCTGAATAGGTGGAGATTGCTTCCTCAAGCGTTAGGAAGTTGCCTTTGGATTTGCTCATCTTCTCTGAATTCACCATCACATGTCCATTACAATAGAAAGCTTTGGGCCACAGACTCGAATCCTCCCAGACTGCAGCATGATTGAAGAGTGACATCGTCAAATGGTTTTGTATAAGGTCTTTTCCGGAGCATCTCAAATCCACGGGGTACCAGTAAGAGAACTCCTTCCTCATCTTCACTAAGAGTTCTTTGGATAACGAAGTTGGAGATGTTTCTGTGATGCCAAAGACGTAGTCAAAAACTTCTTCAGAAAGGTCTTCCGGCTTCACCTGCTCAACCAAGTGAGCGACCGTGTAGTATGCCATGTATATCGTCGAATCACTGAGACTTTCAATGAGCCACTGCTCATCCCAGGGAAGCTTGGTGCCCAAACCAAAGGTTCTTGAACATGCCCAATCTCCAAGCCACCCCACTGCATGCGACAGGGCATTTTTGGAAGCTTCACTGAACATTTCGAAGTTGCCTTCAACATGCTCACGCACTCGCTTGGTCCAGGCCTCATCACTATACTTCAAGTACCACTGCTCACATAGTGCCACGACACACTCATCTCCTGAACGTGCCACGACTTTGGATTCAGGCTCAAAATATGCTAGTGCTTCTCCTTTTTCGATGAGGTCTTCCTTGATTTTGGCTTTGGCATCAGCTACTTTTTGTCCTTTGTACGCTCCAACGTTCATGATGCCTGAGTAAAAACCCTTCTGGTAAACCTCTTTCTTGGCAGCTGCCAACTTGTCTTTCTCTCGGTGTGAGCCGATTTTCATCTGCTCACAAACAGCAGGAGCCGAAGCAAATGAAGCCTCATCCTCTCCATCTCCGTCGAAGGTCAAGATTTCTTGAACCTCAAACGGAACACACCATTCCTCTTTCACATTGTATTGATCTCGCCAGTTTGCTCGAGTCTTCCAATCCCTCAAACAAATATAATCATCCGGAGCTTCTGCAGGCACACTTGTCACAACACCGGTGCCTTTGGACATTGAAATGGTGAACATTGGCAACACATGGATGGTTGAATACTGGCAAAGTGGTGCCTCAAGAGGCAGTCCAACCAGTTCCTGACCGCTCAAACTCATCAGGCATCTCGGTGAAGTGGAGTTCTCCTTTTCCTCCAGAATGTCTTGGTAATACATGTTCAAAGCTGAGCGCTGGCTGCACACAAAGATCTCTCCTTCTTTGGTTCGAAACAAGCCATATTGGCCCTCTGGAAGGACAAAACAATTCGTTTGCCCATACATCGTCTCTGGTCGCAAAGTGGCTGCCACGAGGAAGACGGGAGTGTCTTCCAAGTCCCAGGCCTCAGGAATCTCCTTCACTCGTAATTTGATCAACGTATATTCTTGTGGATTGACACCTTCACCTTCAGCCCGGTCATGATCTGCACATGGCTGTTGCGTCGTAATGGAAAAGATCGTTTGCCTCTTCCCATTGGCCAAATATTTGGCCTTGAGCTTTTGAAAGTGCCACTTCACGAAGGAATCAAAATGAGGGTTCAGGTCTGTGGTGATGAAGGTGCGACGCCAGTCCACTGCAGCACCAAAACGTTTCAAGTCCTGGATTGCCAAAGGTGGAAAATATTCCAGCCAATACTTGGGATCCGTAAACTTTGGAATGTCCTCCTCTCCAATGCCCAATGCCAGCATTATATCGTATTGATCAAGGCCACCCGTTTTGGCCACCGCTTTGGACTTCTTTCCCTTGAAGGTCTTTTCCATCACTTCGACTTCTTTAGATTCCGTTCTTTCTTTTTCATCATCTCTTTCGTCCTCGTTCTTTTCTCCTGAAACAGCGATTGAAGAAAACAAAGACAAGGCAGGACAAGAGCGATGGCCTCCAACCTAGAAGCGATGGCCTCCAACCAAAGAGCAATGGCCTCCAACCTACCAGCGATGGCCTCCAACCTACGAGCGACGGCCTCCACAAGACTCAAGAAGACTGTCTTTAAAACTTAAGAAGACAAGACAGTCTTTACGTCTTTTGACGGCTTTGGGTCTCAAGTCATTCCTTGAACTCACCACAAGTAGAACCGATGCTAATCCTGTCCTTGACCATTAAATTAGCACAAGGAACAACAATGTTTAGTTCGAATTGCATGAAACAAACTAAACTAGCATGGAAACGTGGGTTATCATTGATGGTGTGTGACATCCTTTTCCTCAGGTGCGGTCAATGTCGCTGTGTTTGGGCTCTTCTTTTCGAGCCTAGTAGCTTCTTGCTACTAGTAGTAAGGCCAGGAACTTCTAGTAGCGTGTTTGCTCCTAGTAGTAAAGGGTTGTTCTTGGTAAACATCTTGATTTCCGCCGATGTGAGCGATGAGAAGAGTTGAGAAGAGTGAGTGATGGAGTCAATAATTGATATCACTCAACATCGCTAGCATGGTGCACGTTTTGCTTGCACGCAGGAATTTGAAGTCCCACATACCTAGTAGCAGCGTTTTACTCTTGTAGTACAAACTTTGTAGCACTTCGTGGTGCTTTTTCCGCTGCGAGGTTTAGTGCCGTCACTCCTTTGGGAGGCTTCCCGCCTTCCTGAAGTCTTTGATGTGGCAGGTTTGCAAATGTAGTGTGCGAAATTACCATGCATCGCCTTTTCAAGGAAAACGGAAAACTGATAACAATACCATTGCCATTGCTCTTAGGTTGAAGGAAATTGCTATTAAGTAGGGAAAGGAGGACCGGGCCAACAAAAAAGGAAACGGTCTGAAGGTCTCAAGAAAGAAAGGAAGAAAGAAAGGTTGGAGTCTCATCGCTATAAGAAACAAGGGAACAAAGAAAAGGAAAAAAGGTCTGGTAGCTTCTTGTTACTAGTAGCGATGCACTTGTTACTAGTAGCGATGCACTTGTTACTAGTAGCGATGCACTTGTTGCTAGTAGCTATAAAATACACGTGGCGGCTTGCATTCACAAGACTTACGAGCGCACTGTACCTCCCATCTTCGAAATGTGGGAGGCCAACAGAGTATGTAATAGCGATGGCCCCCAACCTACTAGCGGACATGCGCACACAAGTCATTAGGCCGAACTGAGACCTTCAAATTTCAATTCGTTTATTCAATTTGTGGCAGTTGGATATTTCGCCGCAGCTCTACACAAGAGTGTGTTCTACAGTGTCGCATAAACATGTTCCAGAAGAGTGTTCCACAAAAGTAATTGTATATTAGTATATTCACTTCTTCTCGCATAAGATAGTAGCCGTCATCTTTTTAAGTTTAAGACATATATTGTTCTATATAGAATGTTCTTCTACGAAGAATGTATCCGATGGAGGTGTCTCCTACCTACGAATTCTTTTGAGCGGAAATCCTAGGTGCAAAGACGCTACTAGGGGCTCCTGGCCGTACTACTAGGAGCAAGGACGCTATTAGGCACGGATTGACTCCATTTTGTTGTTTCGGATTCTGTTCGGTTTCCGTTTGTTTCCTCTCCAGGTTTTGGTGGTTCAGGTTGTTGAGGCCGTGAACACCAGAAGAGGCGTAAGTGGCGCAAGCAGTGACAGGTGGCTTTACTGTAGGCAAAGGTGGCAACAGCAAGACTCTAGCTTAAGGCACCGTGATTTTCCATGTGATTTTCGTGGTCTAAATGTGGAAAAACTGGCATGAACACATGAGAAGGTTGGAGGCTCATCGCTATAAGAAACAAGGGATCTAAGAAAAGGACAAAAGGTCTGGTAGCTTCTTGTTACTAGTAGCGATGCACTTGTTACTAGTAGCGATGCATTTACTAATTACTAGGAGCTTCTTGTTGCTAGTAGCTACTTGCTCCTAGTAGCGCCTTATGTTATTGTTAAGTGCATTGAGGCTGTCCTCCTGCACGTTGTTTGATCGACTCTTGAAGCTTCAATGCGGCTGCTGCTATGGGCATCCCGGTGCAATGAAAGCCAAAGGGGAAAAGCACGCGCTTTCCATTCAAACGAGCAAATCTGGCAGCAAATTCTGCTTTTGTGATTGAAAACGCATGTCCCAAATGCAGCTTGCCGTTCATATATGGGAAGGGAAAAGTGACGAAGTACTTCTCAGGTTTTCCCTCGAAGGGTGCATCAGTCTGATAAGCACCTTCCTTTTCCCAGAGCTCCTGCACATCTTTCTCAATCTCCAACAGCAAATCTCGCCTTGTCCAATCCGCATTTCGACCAATTTGCGACGGAGAGTTCTTCCGCCTTCGCGTTTGACCTGTGAAGGTCGAGGCAGTCGAGGCCACAGTCATCACGTTGGCCATCCGTTTCGTACCTTTCAAACCTGTGCAGCCTGCTGTGCCAGCTGTGAAACGCGTCTGGTGCTCGTTTTCCGTGTCCGACGCTGCCAGACTCGAACGGGACAAAGGGGATCGCTTCTTTCTCCACAAGGAAACGCTGCAAAGCGAAGCAATGAGCGGGAGCAGCCGAAAAGATGTGCAAGAAGAGGTGTTTTGCGCACTTTTCACGATGCGCCTTGGGAAGGTGAGAATGAACGGAAGTTGGACATTTTTAACGAAACAAAAAAACGTTGTTTTCCAATAAGGGGGGTAGGCCGCGGAGGTCGCTTGGTAGCTAGTAGCTTAAGTAGCTACTACCGACTGGACGCAGGATAGCGTTCGCACTAATGATTTGGTTCCTAGATTTTTAGGGAAACTCAACTATACTAGTAGTAAGGCCACGCACCTAATCGGAAGAAAACAATGCGCCTTGTGTGAACCGAATGAACCGCAATGGATCTTGCATTCTGTGTCTTGCCATGAGCATCAGCAGAACGAGCAATGAGGATGCCAATGGCGCTCGCCATGAGAGGCCAAGCAATGCTTCTCTCCCTCTCCCTCCCACTCTTTAACCCGAATGAAAAGCACTGCTCAACAAGTGGTCAATATCAGTATGTGATAGTATATGGTACTAGTCAGTATACCGTCATACTTACTGTCAGTATACCAGTGGTCAATGGGAAGCGTGTATAGGTCTATTGGTTTGTATGTTGTTCTCTCATCTTGTCATCGTCATCTCTCTAGTTATCTGATCGAAACTGACAGCAGAAAAATAATCAAAACAACTATGCAGCTGTGCATTCTGCGACTGCGGTGCAACTGCGCAGCATCATGTCGCACTTTCGCATTGGAGGCAGTAGTTTGCGGTGGAACAAACGGTTCAGCACTGCGCTTGATAGACAGTGACCACGGAGCCACTCGGGGGGCTCTGAAAAAACAGGCACTATAATAAATATTGCAAACTTTCTCCTTGACACAAAGAGGGCTGCGCTCAAGTCAACGTTTTCTGTACATCTTCTACATACAAGCTTTCGTCTGCATTGAAACATCTTCACGCTCCTTCTTGGTGGTGTGAGCACTCGAATTGCTATTTTTAGCCCACTCTGCCACCATAAGTCTCTCTACTTCCATAATGCTTCTTTCGAATTTCTCTTCTCCTCTAAGGAACGGGGTCCCTTGAGGTCCCTGGTGCGGTACTTTCTGGATTGTCTTTGACCAAGATTCATCAACTCTTTGAGACGAATGCTTCCTAGTCGCGCAACATGAATGTACCTAGTCTGGCTGTCAATTGCACCTAACCAACATTCTGCTCTTGCTGACTTTGTTTCTGAATCTCTGGCCCTTGTGTAGCAAAAGTCAAAGCTTACTTCAGGATTACTTCCTCTCTTTACTCCATCTGTTCTCTCATGGCGATCTGGACGTGCTCGATGTTCAATGTTCTCCTTGCACCAATTCGCTCACCAAGCCTTTGGCATTCAAGAGTTCCATCTTCTTGTTGTGATCTTTGTGTAGACCTTAGCTTAAAGCCACTGCCTGAAATGCCGAGAAATGAACATGCTGCCCTCAAAGTTGCTAAAGTAGAATCTTGAGTCAACTCTACGCCGTTCACCAAGACTTTGTCTACATCCATTGGGCTCAATTGCAGTTCGCATTCAAAGTCTTCATCTTCTTTTCCTCTTCTTTCTTGTCTCCTACCTCCTTCTCCGGTTGAGTAGGGGTAATCTTCTCTTCCTCTCATGACTGTTCTCAAGCTTCTTGTATCCTGGTGCAAAGAACCCCATATCTTCTGGTGGTGCTGGTTCATAGCTGAAGATTGCGATTGAAGGGATGACTGCATCATCATCAAAGAGCTGCTCATTGAGTTTCTCCTTTTTCAGCGTGCTTTCACAATATTCAGGCATTAGCCATCGACCTCCTCTTTTCACCAAAGTGGTTCTCATCAACTCTGGTGACTCTTCACTTCTGGAATGAATGTGGGATCAACAAGCCTTGAAGTCAATACGCTTCCAACTAGCAGTCCATGCTCATTGAATCTCCCACCTGCCGTCTTTTCCAAAGCTTCAGGTACTTGCACCTCCAAGCAGCTTTCATCTTCAGCTCTACTGACTCTAATACGGCGTTGATTTGTCGAAGAGCGATTTTGCAAGTTGAGTGGTACTTTCAAGTCACCATTCCCCAGCATTTGCCCTCTGCTATTGATTCCCCAACCATGTTCCATCAGCCTTCCATAACAAAGTATGGGCTGAGTCACCTTTGAACTGAAGATCACATTCTCCTTGAGAAGAACGTCACGTCCATCAAGGAGGATGTGGCCATCATTATTGACAGTGGAACTGATGTAACGTTATTCCTTTGAGTATGACAAATCATGGGGAAGGAGGCTTGGAGCTTAGCGCAAAGACCATGCTGCAAGATGCTCACGGGAACCGTATCCCACTGAGGGTGCCCAAAGTCGATCACCCTGCAATCTTCCATCTCTGGTTCATGCTCATCATCATCATCATCATCTCCTGTAGAAGTGAATAATCTAATTCCCTGATCTTCTACTTCATCATCCTGTTCTCGCAAGTCAAAGATGATTGGCTCACAGTTCTCATCCCTTCTGACCACTGGTTTGGTCTCTGCTGCGCTACTCTGCTGGCTAACATTAGCATGTTGCTGACCAACTGTATGAATAGCCACTGTTGCTCCTCCTCAAAATGAATGGGCTGGATCACTTGCGACCTGTCAAATATTGTTCCTCCAGTAGTCTCGAGCAAGATGTCTTGGCTCTCCACAAGTGTTTGCCACACCTTTCCCTTTTTGGTCGTTTCCTTTACCTTTGCCCTTGTGTTCACCTTCTTTTCCTTTCCGATCTCCTTTTCCTTTCTGTCCTTTGCCCTTTGCATCCTCACCTTTGCCTTTCTGATGGTCATACTTGGTCATACTTGTCCTGCTTGCCTTTGCCTTTGGCATCTTGGACTCGATCACTGTCCATTGGCATGGATCCTTGATAGTCTGTACTGCTACTTGCCACCAACTAAAAAACGATCCCATTGCAACACTTGTTCCCTCAAAGTTGAATATTTTGAACATTGTCGCCAATAGTCAGGTTCAAGTATGATTTGAGCTGTCCACGTACACATCTCAAACGGATAGCAGATTTCCACTCTTCAAATTGTTGCCCTTGCCTTGACCGTCTCATCAAATACTTCTTCAAGTTTCAGAACTTGAGGTTGTAGCGCACTGTTCATTGAAAATGCAGGCCATGTAGTGGCTGCTCTCACAAGCTAGTCCTCTGAGTAGGTTTTATTTTTTTTTCAAAGCCCTCCAAGCATCAAATCCATTGGAGTCCTCCACAGCTTTCACCAGCTGCAGTGCTCTTCCCCTCATCAGTGAAGCTAACAATCCTTAGAGCTTGATGCACCTGGTCACCTGGTCTTCTCTTCTCCAGTTGCCAAGTCCATATCAAATTTCTCATTTGGCTTGTCATGAGTCTCTTTCAAGTCCTTCATGTAAGCCTCATCCACTGAGCTCAAATGTGTCCCTAACTGCCAATGACAACTCTCTAAATGCTTTGATCTCTTCTTCTTGTGACTTATAGTCAAAGATGTTGGGCTTTGCAATCAATTTTGACGAATCAGTTGCTGATGACTTCTGGTCTTCAACTGCTTTCTTCACTGCCTCAGCTGCTGATGTTGTTGCTTGCGTACTCTGTGCTATAACTATAAGGATTTCTCTGATCTCCTCCATCTCCACTGCGCACCAATGTCTTTCTGACACAATGTACCGTGCACAAACTGCGTTTTACAGCAGTTTGTCAACAGATCAGCAGTTTGGGTTCCAAAGGCCCCAAATCTATGGCTCAAACGCTCCCGGGATCCCAGTGACCTAGGGGCTTTTCTCTGGAGCTCTAAGGGGGTTACCCTTATCCTTGCTCTGCTACCATGCGAACTGTTTCCTTGACACGAAAAGGGCTGCGCACAAGTCAAAGTCTTCTGTACATGCTCCAATACAAGCTATGGCCGGCTATGGTCTGCATTGAAACTTCTTCACCAAATACATATATGATAAAGGATTTTTAGGGCATTTCTTTGCATAGGCTGCCGATGGCTGCTGTCTTGATTAAAAGACAATTGACATGTAAGGGTTTAACATTGAACTTGTTTTTGAATGTTTTTTATTCCGTGGAATGGTCTGGGGCTCCAGGACTTGCAAGCTTAATGTGTTTAAATCAGTGGTGGAATTAAACACATTAAACACAGTTGCATTTCAGAAAGAAGCGATATCACGGCGCATTTTTGCACTGTGGGATCTTCTCTGTGTTTGGTTTTCTATCAGTTGACGCTGTCTCTTTCATGGCTTTCTTTGATCCTTGCATTTCTTTCTGTGCAAATGAAAGAAACTTATTCTGCCTCACCTCCCCCTTCCCCCAAGGCAATCCCAAAAAATACAAAAATACAATTGTCACAGGACTTTGTTTGCCTCACCCCCTCTTCTCCCCATGGTTTGTGCAGACTTTTGTTTGTTTTCGTGTTTTTTTTTGATTTCCTTGGCATTCCACATTCCCAATTGACCAGGCTTGCAGACTGTTCATTTTCATCCTCGAATATATTTCACTCAACAACTTTTTGCCTGTGTCCCCTCAGAACTTGTGTGAGGTATTTGCAACATTGGAAATTTTGAATTTCCAAGGAAATCAAATGAGCAAAGATACCATGGGGGGTAAAAGAGAGGGGCAAAGTCCTGTCACAATTGGATGTTTGGTTTCCTTGGTTTCTTTGTTATTTTTGGATTTCCTTGGACATTCCAATTTTCCAATTCTGTGTACTGTCGCTAATCTTTGTCACCGACTTTCTTTTCTTTGACTATGTTTCTTTTTGGGGACTTTTATTTTTTGACTTTCTTGTTTTTCTAGATTTGACTTTTTTGACCTTGACTTTTGGGATTGACTTTTATTTATTTAGTTTTAAAAACAGGCTCTCTCCAACGATCGATTTTTCTAGTTACTAGAAAATTGAAATTTGCAAGGAACTCAGGCAATCCCAAAGACACTGTAAAAACACTATCATAAAAACCCCGATCTTTATCCGCAACTTTGCTTTCGAGAGAAACTTGCAAAATGTGAAGATGACATCAAAAAAATCGAAAAAACTATACACAAGCATGCGTGACGGGACTTTTGGGTTTTTGCAGTGTTGTGTGTGTTTTGTAATTCTTCGATATGCTTTTGGATGTCCTTGATTCTATTTTTGCATGCTCATTTCTCAGGAAGAGGCCGTGATCTGGGGCTTGTTGGGAGACCAAGTTTGTAGAGGCCTTTGGCAATGCACTTGCAAGTGCTGATGTGAATCATTTATCCAAAGAATGAGGATGGGGCATCACGCTACTAGGGGTTCCTGGCCGTACTATGCGGGACATGGTTGGGACATGGTCCGCGTCTCGCTTTGAACCGGTCAAGACTCCGAGGCATCTACGGCCGCGGTATGCCGCCCAATGATAGGCAGCGGTTGAAGTTAGCGCAAAGGAAAGACAGCAGCGTTCTTTGTTCCTAGTAGCGTCCTTGCTCCTAGTAGCGATTCCCTTTGCTCCTAGTAGCTTCT